TAGAAAACCATGCAAATGCGTCGCTAGGCACTTGCACACGGGGCCTATGTCCCGATTCTATCTGACAGTGCCCGAATCCATTTCCATGATCGATGTCATACTGAAACGCCGAAAATTCCCGAAAGTTCTGAGCCCTAGCCCGAATATTTTAAGTACTTAGCGATGCTTCTGAAGTCATGAGAAACAAACAAATCCTCTTTTATTCCTATTCGATTGGTCGTATAAAAACTTAAAACCAAAAATTAAACAGCGAATCCTTGTGTATTAACACTTATTAGCATATCACAATTATCATCATTTTTAGTGTAAAGCTCTACAAGTCCTTGGGTTCCATTAACTGTAAAGCTGAAATTTGTCTTCTACCTAATAACTCGCAGCAAGGAAGATGTGAAATCGGGCGTAACTTTTAATAGCTGTTGACAATTCTTTTATGAACGAGAAAAGGGGCACTTTTGAGGCATAAAGACATGGGCTTAAGCCTCCCCTCCCCCACCCCCCCGTGCACGTCATTGAAAAACAGATAAATGAAGAAATTTTCTTCTAATAGATTGGAGCTTCATACCAACTTCAAACTATTATTTTATAATAACAGTTTCCACATGTGACTCTACAGAATTTTACATAAAACTGGAAATTTCGGTCATTTTTCGTTTTGTTCCATAACGTCAGTCATATTTCTCAATTCATTTAAACACTGCGCAAATACTAAAACTACTTACCCCATTTTTTACGATGAGTTTGTTTTTCAGTTCTTTGAAGGAAGGCGATTTGAAACTCTGTTTACGTCCTGGTAGAAGTTCTTCAGAATCAACTAAAGATAAATAATAATATTAAATAATAATCTCTTGGAATTTGACACTTCTATTCACTTCCAAAAATTAGCTTTGTGTAGTTTATGCCATCCATTTACAACCTAAAACAGTCGCATAACTCGAAACAAGACTTCAAATATTCATTTCCTGTGCCCATCCATGAAAAGTAATATATTGTTGCGTCATCGAGGTCACGTGACTGGTGTGGCGCCCTCTATTTCCTAGAACTATCTTGTTTTTCCATGAATGCTCTAGTATTTACTAGATGGGGTAGGCGGGTATATATAAGTAGGGGGAAAACGTGACGCGGGAAGGTAATGTGTGTGT